TAACCATATCCATAGAAATAATCTTTGAACCCATGGGAGCTGATGAGTTCACTGAGTAAGAATTCAGAAAAACAAGGAAAGAAGGCCAAAGATATTAGTCATGTCTCCCTGTATCATCACTAGGTACACTCTTGAGGGAGAAGTAGCTTCTGATCCAGATCATTTCATCTGATTTCTGAGGTTGTATGTTTTCTGGAGCTGAAAACTCCTCATAAGTAAGCTCTAGCAAAGAAAGATTATTGATTTCCTAGAGCTCTCTGAGCCCTTTGTAACTCTGTAAGAGAGGATTGGACTGTGGCTTTGGAAGAAAATTAATGAGTTGTCAGTGTTTAATAAAGTGGATACAATAAACACCTAGGGGAAAAATTTTATTTGATTAAAAACTGCTGGAAAAATTGGAAAAGTTTGGTAGAAAATACAGTTAGACAAGCATCTTACACCATATTCCACAATACATTCTAAATTAATACTTGGCTTTAATATTAAATCATATCATAAAATAAGTGAAGAGAAATAAATCATCTATGCCTCAAAGCTATGGGTTGGAAATGTATTCTTGGGGCAGCTAGGTGGCGCAGTGGATAGAGCACCGGCCCTGAAGTCAGGAGGACCTCAGTTCAAATCCAGCCTCAGACCAAACACTTGACACTTCCTAGCTGTGTGACCCTGGGCAAGTCACTTAACCCCAATTGCCTCACCAAAAAAAAAAAAAAAAAAGGAAATGTATTCTTAACCGAACAAGGGATAAAAGCAATTGCAAAAGATAAAAGAGACGACTTTTATTATAAGACACTCAAAGGCTTCAGTAAAGACAAAACTAATCAACCTAGGGTAAGAAAGGAAGCCGTTAAATAAGAAAAAAATCTTTGGGTCAAATTTTTCTGATCAGGGATTGGACTTAAAATGTAAAAATAATATGAATATGTGTATGTGTACCTGTATTATGTTGTAAGAAATGATGTATGTCATGAAAACAGAGAAGCCTAGAAAGATTTGTGTAACGCAGAGTGAAACCAGCACAGCCAAGAAAATGGTATAAGCAGTAATTACAATGATGTCAATGGAATTTTCCCCATGCAAAAAAAAAAAAAAATCAAGTGAATGAAAGCAAAACTATAAAGTTCAAGCAAGAAGAGATAGAAAGTGACAAATTTTGGAGAGAATGTGGAAAAATCAGGACACTAACTCATTATTGGTCCAGTGAACTGATCCAACCATTTTGGAGAGCAATCTGGAATTATGCCCAAAGTTATTAAACTGCCTATACCCATTTGACCCAGAAATACCACTACTAGGTCTGTTTCCCCAAGATGATTAGGGGGAAAGGAAAAGAACCTATATATTCTAAAATATTTATAGCAGCTCTTTTCATGGTGGTAAAGAACTGAAAATGCCTGGGATGCCCATCACTACGGAAATGACTGAACAAGTTGTGGCATATGATTGTGATCGAATACTACCATGCTGTAAGAAATGATGAGCTCGATTACCTTAGAAAACATGGATAAACTTATGCAAAATAATGAAGAGCAAAAGAGCAGAACCAAGAGAACATTGTATACAGTAAAAGCAAGATTGTTTTAGGAACAACTTTGAGTGAATAAGTCATTTTGCTATTATAAATACTCAAATTAACTACTAAGGGCCTATGAAGGAAGGCACTATTTACACCCAGAGAAAGAACTGATAAAGAGTAGTATGTATAGGATAATTTTATGTATATTTACATACATATACATATCTGCATCTAATAATAGCCATCTCTAAGGTGAGGAACAAGGAAGAAAAAAAAGAAAAAATAAATTTACACAACTATTATATATTTAAAAGGAATAGCAAGTTGTACGTGATAGACTTACAGTTTCATGTGGAATCATCTTTTATTATTATATTATGTTATAGAAATTCTTGGTTTATTCCATAAGTTAAAAATTAAATATTTTATGGTAATTTTTTTCACTTAATAGCATTTTGTTTTTTTCAGTTATATGTAAAGATAGTTTTCAGCATTCATTGTTGTAAGATTTTGAGTTCCAAATTTTTCTCCCTCCCTCCTTGTCCTCACCCTTCCCCAAGATGGCAAGCAATCTGATTTAGGTTATACATGTACAATCGTGTTAAAATATTTCCACATTAGTCGTGTTGTGAAAGAAGAATCAGAACAAAAGTGAAAATTATGAGAAAGAAAAAAAGAAAAAGCAGTTCTTCCCCGGATGTGGATAGCTATTTCCATCACAAGTCTTGGAATTATCTTAGAGCATTGTATTACTGAGAAGAGCTATGTCCATCATAATTGATCACCATACAATGTTGCTGTTACTGTGTACAATATTCTCCTGGTTCTGCTCACTTCACTCAATGTCAGTTCATGTAAGTTTTTCCAAGTCTTTCTGAAACCCACCTGCACATCATTTCTTAGAGCACAATAATATTCCATTATATTCATATGCATATATGAATATAGTATTTTATTTTCTTTTGTGTATTTTTTTCCTTTTCTTATTGTGTATTTAAATTTTAGTATTTACGTCTAAAATTAAAAAAAATTAAAAAAGGAAAGTTGAGAAATCAGGGCCATATTTCTACCTTCCCCTGCCCAGCAGATTCCCCACATCCCAGATGACCTAGTCCCTACTCATGGCCACCACCTTCCACACTCCCAGGTTCTTCCTGGGGTCCTTTCAGCACAAACCTCCTTCTGGACACCACATTCAAATGAATACATTCACCAATTGGAACATGTACAGGGTCCGGGAACTATGATCCTTCCATGACCCCCCCACCCTGGAGAGATAATCAGCTGACCTAAGTGGGGTATCTCAAACATGCCTCTATAACCAGCCTGACCCCAGAACTCCACTAAGCACTTCCTCTCCCCACCCCCAATCCAGCCTCCTCACAACTGACAGAGTAATTTTCCAGAGGAACAAGACTTCCATATCATCCCCTTCTTCAGTACACAACAATGGCTCCCGAATATGTCTAGGATAAAACGCAGACTTTTCTCTGTGTGGCTTTCAAAGCCCTTCACAGCCTGTGCCCAAGGTCCCTTCCTGCCTTGTTATTCATTGGTCTCCTTCCTGCGCTCTGAGGTCCAGCCACTGCTTCCCACACCAGTCTCCATCTTTGTATGGACCCTCTGTCTATAATGCCCTCCTCCCTGACCTTTGCCTTACAGGATCCCTCCATTCATTCAGGGCCCTGCTAATATGCATCAGCTTCAACACAAAGTCTTTCCTGATTCCCCAGCTGTCAGTGCTTTCCCTCTCAAACCAACGACTATCTACCCACACGCATGTCTTTATTTTATATTAGTCCTGTGTATATGTGTTCTGCACAAACGTCGACCTGTGCACATGTTGTCCCACCTAAGACAATGGAAGCTCCAGGAGAACTTTCTGTCTTTGTATCTCCTCCGCCATTCCGCTACCTTACAGCCTGGTGACATTGGATGCTTAATTAGTGTTTGATGATGGATTGTGCACCAGACAGGACCAGCGACCATCTGGCCTGACATCACACATGTGTCCTCACCCCCCCTTTTCCATTCACGAGGAATGAAAGTGAAGTCAATCTTACTTATTACTGCAGTGAAGGGCTAGCCATCCACTGCGTCCACGCAGGAATCTGAGCCGTGGGCTGCCCTGGCCAAATGTGATCACCAGACTCTCTTCTATCACAGCTCATTCATTTCAACTTCAGTCCTCTCAATGTCTCATCCCACTCTCCCCTACCTTTACTTTGTGCCTTCTGGGAATCTTGTTTTGTTGTTAACAAGCTTCCCTTGAAAGTTAAAGCTGTGCCTTCCACCTACAAATATTTTACATAAATAATTTGTACTGACATACATACTTAAATATATTTTGTTCTCACCAATAGAGTGTAAGCTCCATCGGGGCAGTCCTGTTTCTCTTTTGGTTTTTCACTTCTAACATGCAGCACAGGATAGGTCACACAGTAGGAGCTTAATAAATGGTCCTTGAATTTGAGCTGGGTCTTGTCTAAGCTGGAGGCTGCCTGTATCATAGGCCTCCTTATCAGGAAAGCACAGAGTGATGAGATACAAGCAAGCACAGACTGTCAGCTGTGCTCACTCAGGGCTCCTGAGGCCCTCTGGGTCAAGGGTCAGCTCCACAGGTGAGTGCAATAGCTGAGTAGACTGTAAATGCAGCTGTGAATGCTATGGCAGGCTATTCCTGGGGTGAAAGGTGCTGTCGTTGGGGAAATGTTTAGAGGAAATGCAGGAGCTGGGACATTTGAATACCTGGAGGGTGGGTACCCCGTACTGAATAACTATAGTACCTGGAACAAGCTTCATAACTTCTGCAGATTTGTAGTCAGGAAGACCAGAATTCAAATCTGGCTTTAAAAACCTGGGCAAGTGACTTCACCTCTGTCCACTTCAATTTTCCCATCTGCAAAATGAGGATAATATAGACTCTCCCTCGTATGTTGTTGTGAGGATGAGATGAAATAGTGTTGGTAACTTACTTTGCAAAACTGAAAGTTCTATATAAATGTTAGCCATTATTATTATTATTACTGTTGTTCTTGTTATTTATTCCAAAGAGCAGATGGTAAGACTGACCCAGAAGTCACACCATGGATGGACCATCTGCTCACAAACCAACTGAGTCTAGGGTCTGAGGCCTAGTCTTACGTGGTCATGGCATTAGGCCTCTGTGCCCGATCTTGGTCCTTTCAGGGTGAGACTTTCATGGGGGCCCTGGTCATTTCCAGGCAAATCTCAGTATTTGTGGCACAGGTGCCCTTTGGTGGTCTTCAATACTAGTTACTCATCAGATTCCCTGGCCCGTGACAGGCTACGTTTACCTTAAGACTCTGATTCTCTCAGAGGTAAGCACTGAAGGACCATGGTCCCTCATTCATCAGTATAAGAGCGGAAGTTGTGGGGCCTGAGTTAGGTGGTATACAGCAGCTGGGCTGGCCACCACATCCTAGGACAGCCTCTACTCCACCTACCTTTTCCACTCTGCACAGTTGAGGCTGGGCAGCCCAGGACAGAGCTGAAAATCCACCATGGGCCCCACAGTCACTTTCCTGTTCTCCATTGGTGAGTGTCCAGGGTCAGGCCAGGGGAGAGAGGGATTTTGTGACAAGGTTCTTGGCTGACTGACTCGGAGGGATAAGAAAGTTCATTAAGGAGGAGACAGAACCATTTGGGGCAGAGCAGGAGCCTTGTGTCTGCTCAAAGGGCTCTTAGTGTTCTGACGAAATCAGAATGAGGTCCAGGGGCTTTGGTGAGAGCTGGGGATGGGCTCAGTGTGGGCTGGAAGGGAGGCATCTGTAACCTGAGCTTTTCTTACAGGGCTGTGTCTGGACTGGGCGCTGAGGGCACAAATGGGTGAGTCCTGCCCCCAAGATCCCACTGTTCTCTTTTCACTCATTGTTTCTAATCAACCCAGAAATATACTCCGGGAATAATTAGGGAGGGAACAGGGGATGATGTGGTGAATGGATGAAGTGACTCAGGAAGAGGTTACAGGTGAAAAACACACCAGGGCCAGAGGAATCTCTGGAAATCAAATTTCTTTCCTTCTCAGACACCCTTCCCAGGCCCACCCTCTGGGCCATCCCGAGTCCTGTGGTCCCCCGGGGAGCAGATGTGACCCTCAGGTGCCAGGGCCACCTGGGGAGTGACCGATTCCAGCTCTGGAAGGATGGAGAGCTCAGAGAGGAGAGAAATGCATCCTGGCAGCAGGCAGAGTTCGTGCTCAGGAATGTGGATGACTGGAGAGATGCGAGAAGCTACAGCTGCCGCTCTGGGCAGGGGCCCTGGTGGTCAGAGCTCAGTGAAGCCCTGGCCCTGGTGGTGACAGGTGAGGGGTGCTAGTCTACAACCATCCCTAGTGGGAAGGAGGCCAGACCTGAGAGAGGAGCCCCAGACCCCTCTCTGGAGAGTCACCTACAAGTGGGACAAACCCTCAGGCTTTACTACCTGCCTCCCCTTAACATCCCTATTTACCCAGGTTCTGGGAGCCCCTTATTCTCTATGGAACATTTTAGGGAAATAGTGTCAGGGCTAAGATTTGAACCCACGTCTCCCACGCCCAAACCCTGGGATGTTTCGCCACCTGGTCAGTGTCCCTGGTGACCCAGCCAGGAGAGCTGGGCGGCTCCTCCCTCACAGGATACACAGCAGCCTTTGGGAATAGGGGCACATAGCTTTTCCAGAGCAAACTTTATCCAGATAAACTTTTCCGGTCCCCTCTTAGGCCCAAACTGGCAACATCCATCCTGTCCAGCTGTGTCTCCCCTTGTTCCCTTTGCCCTCACTGCTTTCCCATCAGCCTGGACAGATGACAACATCACCTCTCTTTACATCCCACCGTTCTTCCTTTGCTCACACAGTTCCCCCTGCCTATGATGCCTTTCCCACCTTCGTTCATCATTTTCCTACACATTCTTAAAGCCCAGCTCAAATCCTGGCCGCTCTAGGATGCTGTCTCTGATTGCATTAAGTGGCAATGTCCTGGCCCTTGGCCCTCCCAGCATGGTGCCCACACCTATCTTGTGTGCGCACTCTAACACTAGGGTGCTTCCCACCAGACTGGGAGTCTGTGGCATGGGGTTCAAATGCCTTCTCCTCCCAGGTCCTAGCTGGGGGACTGTGGGCAAGTCCTTGACCTTCTGTGAACCTCAGGTTCCTTCTTCCATGACATGAAGCTCATGGTCTGTATTTTCCAATGACACAATTTGAGCTCAAATCCCTGTGATTCCTTGGACTGTGAGCTCCCTGAGGGCAGCAGGGGTGGAATCTTCCCTAAACCTTTGGAGTGCCCCCATAGCTGAACAGGAGGTGTCTGATAGGTGAGTTATCAGTGTGGGAAAGAGAACCAGAGAAAATCTTATTCATCACAGAACAGCCGAGAGGGAGCCCCCACGCTCCTCGGCCAGCCCCTGCCCACCCGGGGAGACACAGAGCTCTGCCAGCTCTGCTCTGACTTCACTGAGGGGTGGGCAGGGGTGGCACCTGGACAGGAACCTAGCACCAGGCAGCAGTGTGGGGAAGTGGGTACGGGTGAGGACTGGGAATCTGAGTTCTGTCTAACCCTCGTGTCATGGGTTTATTGGGAGGAAAGAGCTTAGCAAACCTTAAAGCTTAAGGGAAAGGTCTGGAAGTTCCAGTGATGTTGCATTAGGATCCTGCCTTGATCCAGCAGGCCCAGGTTGTGAGACAGAGCTGAGTCACTCGAAGGGTGTAAGAAGAGGGACAGATGAGAGACAGTGACTCCTTTTCTTTCTGTAGAGAAAGTTTTAACAGTTTATTTAGAAGCTCTCTTGGCCTCTCTCTCTCTCTCTCTCTCTCTCTCTCTCTCTCTCTCTCTCTCTCTCTCTCTCTGCTTCTCTCTCTTTCCGTATTCCTCCTCTACTTTTCTCTGTCTCCCTTCCCCTCTTTCTCTCTCTCTCCCACCTTCTTTATCTGTCTCTATCTCTCTGTCTCCTTCTCTCTGTCACTTCTTCCTGTCTGTTTCCCTCTCTTTTTATTTTTTAACAAACATTTTTATTTAAAGTTTTGAGTTCCAAATTCTATCCTTCCTTTCTTCCCTCTCTCTTCTCTCCCCTCCCTGAGATGGAAAGCAATCAGATATATAGGTTATACATGTGCAATTATGTAAAACATTTCCATATTAATCTTTTTGTACAAGGTGACTAGAATAAAAGAAAAGCCTACTTCAGTCTGTATTCAGAAAACATCAGTTCTTTCTCTAGAAGCAGATAGTATGCTTCATCCTGAATCCTTTGGGATTGTCTTAGATCACGATATTGCTGAGAACGGCTAAGTCATTCACAGTTCTTCACTGAACAATATCGTTGTTACTGTGTATGATGTTCTCCTGGTTCTTCTTGCTTCACTAGATATCCAGTCATGTAAGTCTTTCCAGGTTTTTCTGAAATCATACTGCTTTTCATTTCTCATAGCATAACAATATTCCACTACAATCACATGACAGCTTGTTTAGCCGTTCCCCAATTGATGGGTATCACTTTGATGTCCAATTCTTAGCCATCAAAAAAAATGCTGCTATAAATATTTTTGTACAAATAGGTCCTTTTCTCATTTTCTGGATGTCTTTGGGAGATAGACTTAGCAGTGGTATTGCTGGATCAAAAGATATGTAGAGTTTGGTTGCCCTCCAAGCATAATTCCAAATTGTTCTCCAGAATGATTAAATGAGTTCACACCCTATTTTCCCACATCCCCTCCAACATCCACCATTTTCCTTTTTTGTTATATGAGTCACTCTAATAGGTGCGAGGTGGTAACTCAGAGTTGTTTTAATTTGCATTTCTCTGATCAATAGTGATTTGGAGTATTTTTTAATATGACTAGATAGCTTTGATTTCTTTGTCTGAAAACTGCCTGTTTATATCCTTTAACCATTTGTCAATTGGGGAATGATTAGTATTTTTGTAAATTTGACTCAGTTCTCTATATATTTGAGAAATGAGGCCTTTATCAGAAACACTGGCTGTAAAAATTTCCCCCAGTGTTCTGTTTTCCTTATAATATTGTATGCATTGGTTTTGTTAATGCAAAAAAAAAAAACTTTAATATTATGTAATCAAAATGATCTATTTTATATTTTGTAAGACTCTCTATATCTTCTTTGGGCCTAAATTCTTCCTTTATCCATAAATATGACAGGTAAACTATTCCATGCTCTCTTAATTTGTTTATGGTATCACCCTTTATGTGTAAATCACGTACCCATTTCAAACTTACCTTAGCATATGGTGTGAGATGTTGACCTAGTTTTTGCCATGCTGTTTTCTAGCTTTCCCAGCAGTTTTTGTCAAATAATGAGTTTTTATTCCAAAAGCTTGGATCTTTGGGTTTGTCATGTACTAGATTACTAGGGTCATTTACTATAATTTGTACCTAATCTATTCCACTGATCCATCACTCTTTTTCTTAGCCAGCACTAAATTATTTTGATAATCACTGCATTATAATACAGTTTGAGATCTGGTATGGCTAGGCCACCTTTTTCACCTTTTTTTCATTGATTCCCTTGATATCCTTGAGTTTTGTTCTTCCAGATGAATTTTATTATTTTTTCTAGCTACATAAAACAATTTTTGATAGTTTGATTGGTATGGCAGTAAATAGATAGAGAAATTTATGTAGAATTGTCCTTTTTATTATATTGACTCAACATATCCATGAACAATTAATATTTTTCCAATTTTTTGGATCTGACTTTATTTGTGCGAAAAGTATTTTATAGTTGTGTTCATGTAAGTTCTGAGTTTGGCTTGGCAGGTAGACACCCAAGTATTTTATATTGTCTACAGTTATTTTAAGTGGAATTTCTCTTGCTATCTCTTCTGCTGGACTTTGTTGGTAATATGTAGAAATGCTTACGTGGGTTTATTTTGTGTCCTGCAACTTTGCTAAAGTTGTGAATAATTTCAAGTAGATTTTTAGTCGATTCTCTAGGATTCTCTAAGCATACCATCATATCATCTGCAAAGAGTGATGGTTTTGTTTCTACATTGCCGATTCTAATGCCTTTAATTTCTTTTTCTTCTCTTATTGCTATAGCTAACATTTCTAGTACAATATTAAATAATAGAGGTGATAAGGAGCATCCTTGCTTTGCCCCTGATTGTAATGGAAAGGTGTCTAATGTATCCCCATTATAGATATTGTTGGCTGATGGTTTTAGATAAATATTACTTATTTTAAAGTAAACTTCTTTGATTCCTATACTCTCCAGGGTTTTTAAGAAGAATGGGTGCTGCATTTTGTCAAAGGCTTTTTCTGCCTCTATTGAGATAATCATATGATTTCTGTTCATTTTGTGATTGATATGGTCAATTATGCTGATAGTTTTCCTAATATTGATCCCACCTGATCATAGTGTACAATTTTTGTGACATATTGCTTTAGTCCCTTTTCTAGTATTTTTTTTTTTGCATCAATATTCATTAGGGAAATTGGTGTATAATTTCCTTTGTCTCGGCTCTTTTTGGTTTGGGTATCAGTACCATATTTGTGTCATAAAAGGAATTTGGTAGGACTCCTTCACCTATTTTTCCAAATAATTTATTATTATCATGATTAACTGTTATTTAAATATTTGATAGAATTCCCTTGTGAATCCATCTGATCCTGGGAATTTTTTCTTAGGAATGTCATTGATGGCTTGTTCAATATCTTTTTCCAAGTTTGGGTTAAGTATTGTATTTCTTATTCTGTTAATCTACGTAATTTGTATTTTTGTAGATATTCATTTCATTTAGATCATCAAATTTATTATTATATAATTGGGAAAATAGCTCCTAACAATTGTCTTAATTTCCTCTTCTTTGGTTGTGAATTCACCCCTTTCATTTTTGATACTAGTGATTTGATTTTTTTCTTCCCTTTTTTAAAATCAAATTAACCAAAGGTAATATATATTTTATTGTTTTTTTCATAACACTAGCTTCTAGTTTTATTTATTAGTTAAATGGTTTGCTTGATTTTAATGTTATTCATTTCTCTTTTGATTTATAGAACTTATAATTTGGTGTTTAATTAGGGATTTTTAATTTGTTCTTTTTCTAGCTTTTTTTAGTTGCATACCCAATTCATTGATGTGCTTTTTCTCTATGTTACTGATGCAAGCAATTAGAGAGATAAATTTTCACCTATGTACTGCTTTAACTGCATCCCATAAATATTGGTATGTTGTCTCATTGTCATTCTCTTTAATGAAATTATTTATTGTTTGTTTCTATGATTTATTATTTGACCCACTTGCTTTTTAGGATTAGATTATTTAACTTCCAATTAATTTTTAATCTCTCCATTGTCCATTATTGAATGTAATTTTTATTGCATTGTGATAAAAAAAAAGATGCATTTACTGTTTCTGCTTTTCTGCATTTGATTGTGAGGTTTTATGTCCTAATACCTGGTCAGTTTTGTGTAGGTGTCATATGCTATTGAGAAGGAAAAAAAATTATATTCCTTTCTATTCCCATTCAGTTTTCCCCACAGATCTATCATATCTAACTTTTCTGGAATTTTATTCACCTCCTTAACTTCTTTCTTGTTTATTTTTTGGTTAGATTTATCTAGTTTTGAGTGGGGACAGTAGAGGTCTCCTACTAGTATAGTTTTATTATCTATTTCCTCCTGCAACTCATTTGACTTCTCCTTCAAAAATTTAGATGCTGTACCATTTGGTGCACGTATGTTTAGTATTGATTTGACTTTATTGTCTATGGAATCTTTCAGCAAGATACTGTTTCCTTCTTTATTTCTTTTAATTAGATATATTTTTGCTTTTGTTTTGTCTGAGTTCGTGATTTCTACCCCTACTTTCTTTGCTTCAGCTGAAGCATAACAGATTCTTTCCAGCTATTTACCTTTACCCTGTGTTTATCTCTCTGCTCTAAATGTGTTTCTTGTAAATAAGATATTGTAAGATTATGGTTTTTAATCCATTGTACTATACACTTCCATTTTATGAGTGAGTTCATCCCATTCACATTTATAGTTATCATAAATAACTCCATACTATTTTTCACTTTTTTATCCACCTCTCTTTTATATCCCACCCTTTCCTACTCACATGTGTTTTACTTCTGATCACTTCCTTCCCCAATATACCCTCCCTTTTATCAATCCTCTCTCTTCCTTCTATTATACTCATCTCTTTTTATTTCACTGTAGGTTTAGATAGATTTCCATATCCAACTGAGTGTGTACGTTATTCCCTCTTTGAGCCAATTTTGATGAGATTAAGGTTGAAACTGTGTTCACTACCCCAGCCCCGAATTTCCCCTCCTTTATAATTCTTTCATGCCTCTTTTATGTGGGATAATTTACCCCAATCTCTCCCCCTCCTTCTTCCAGTGCAATTTTCTTCATCATCCTATAATTTTGTTTTTATTTTTTTGTATCATCCCATCAAAGTCACCTTATATCCACACCCTCTGTCTACAGATATGCCTCCTATTTGCTCTTATAGTAATAAAGTTGTTAAGAGTTACAAATATTATCTTGCCATATAGAGATATAAACATTTCACTTTATTGTATTTTTTGTTTTCTCTCTCTCTCTCTTGTTTCTTTTTTTTTTTTTACCTTTTTTTTATGTTTCCCTTGAGTCTTGTATTTGGAGGTCACATTTTTATTCAGCTCTGGTGTTTTAATTAGAAATGCTTAAAAGTACTCTATTCCATTAAATATCCATCTTTTTCCCCTGAAATAGTGTGTTCAATTTTGCTGGGTAGGTGATTCATGGTTGTAATCCTAACTCCTTTGCCTTCTGGAATATCATATTCCAAACCCTCCAGTTCTTTAATGTGGAAGCTGCCAAATACTGTGTAATCCTGACTGTAGCTATACGATATTTGAAGTTTCGTTTGAGCTACTTGCAATATTTCTCATTGATCTGTGAGCTCTGGAATTTGGCTATGATGTTCCTGGGGGTTTTTATTTTAGGATCTCTTTTAGGTGGTGATTGGTGGATTATTTCAATTTCTATTTTGCCCTCTGGCTCTAACATACCAGGGAAGTTTGGGTTGTTTTTTTTTTTTTTATAATTTCTTGAAAGACATTTTCCAGTCATTTTTATATCATGGCTTTCAGGTACTCCAATTATTCCTTTATTATCTCTCCTGGATCTATTTTGTAGGTCAATTATTTTTCCAATGAGAAATTTCACATTTTCTTCTATTTTTTAAACTTTTTAAATTTTGTTTTGTCATATTTTGATGTTTCATAGAGTCATTAGTTTCCATTTATTCCATTCTAATTTTTAAGGAATCATTTTCTTCAGTGAGCTTTTGTACTCCTTTTTCTATTTGGCCAATTCTATTTTTTTGGGAGTTATTTTCCTCAGGAAATTTTTACATATCTTTTCCCATGCTATTGACTGTATATTCATGATTCTCTTGCATTATTCTCGTTTTTTCCCATTTTTTCTCCTACTTCTTTAATTTGCTTTTTTAAATCCTTTTTAAGCTCTTACGGGAATTATTTTGGGCCTGAGACCAAATTACATTTTTTTTTGAGACTTCCATGTAGCCATTTTGATATTATTGTCTTCTTCTAAATTTATGCCTCATTCCTCCCTATCACCATAGTTATTTTCTATAGTGAGCTCTTTTTGGGGTTTTTTGGGGGGTTTTTTTCCCGTCATTTTCTTTTAATCTTTTTTTGTGACTTAATGTTTTTATGAGAAAGTTGGGCTCTGGCCCTGTACTTTCCCAAGCTTTCTGTGCTTGGGCTTTCACTGGGCTTCAGGGCTTTGCTGCTCCTTTTCTCTGAAAGGTAGGCTTCCCTTCTGGCTTGTACTGAGGGAGTGGGGCCTTCCTGTTGGCCTCCCCTGGGTGTGGAATTTAGCTACTGGCCTGGTCCAGGTGTGGGGACTTGCTGCTGGGTTGTTATGAAAATAAGACCTCTCTACTTCTAGGCCCTGGAGGAGTAATTTTGTTGTTGATCTGCCTGAGGGGTAGAGCTCTGATGCTGGGTTGCTATGGAAACAGGGTCCCAGAGGTGGGGTCTCACTGTTGGCCAGCCCCAGGGTAGGGCTTCGCCACTGGTCAGCAATGGGGTCAAGGGTTTTGCTGGTGAATTATGCTGGGAGTGGGGTCACTGGGATGGGACCTTGTGGAACTAAACAGACTGCTCACTTGTCTAGGGGTCTCCTGGTGTGCAGGAGGGCAGGGACTTACTGGTGGATTGCCACAGGCTTAGAGCCTTGCGTGTAGAGCCTCCAAGTTGTGAGGCTGGCTGCTGCTGTTGTTCTTGGACCTTTTTCCCTCCCAGCCCAGTGAAACAAACCTTTCCGGACAGGCTGGTCGCCTGCTTCCCTGTTGCTAGACCGATTCTGACATGGTTTCCTAGTTGTTTAAAGGGGAATTTTGGAGGCCTTATGAGGATTCCTTCTTTACTCTCTTAGCACCAGAAGTTTCTGACCTCCCCTTCCCATCTCCTTTCTCCTCCCATTGTCTTTCTGAGGGTGAACCAGGGAGCCCAGTTAATCAGCCACGAACAAGCCTACAGAGCTGGACAAAAGGACCTGGCCAGAGCCCCTCGGTCCATCCTCCCTCTTCCCAGGTCTATTTCAAGGAATGATTTGAGGGGATCAGGGTGACATATCAGGTCTCTAACTTTCTTCCTTCCTCCTTTCACAGGAGCCCTCCCCAAACCCTCCATTTCAGTCTCACCTAGATCTGTAATATCCCCAGGGACAACAGTGACTATCTGGTGCCAAATATCACCACAGGCACCCTCTCAGGACTACAGTTTTGCTCTGCTGGACACAATGAGCCTGGAACCCTTCCAGCGACAGAGCCCTGCAGGGACCCAGGCTAATTTCTCATTTCTGTCCGTGAGGCCCGAGGATACTGGGAGCTACAGCTGTATTTACTACAAGAAGACAGCCCCCCACAGGGGGTCACACCCCAGTGAGACTCTGGAGCTGATTGTGCCTGGTGACTGGAGATGGGATTCCCCCAAAGCCCTAATTCCATTCCCCAGATAGGGGCCCACAGATTTATGGGGACAGCATAAAATCCTGGGAATTCTGAAGGGATGGTTTAGGGGGAGGCTGGAGGAGACCCTGGGATCCTCTCCCATTCTATGTGGACTCAGTTTTGGGCCCCAGGATAGTGGTGGTATTTCTAGCTCAAAACAGGCCCCAGACAAGAAAGTGAGAACAGAGGCAAGGTTCCAATTTCCCCTCTCACTAGGAGTTTAGGGGAGGGGTCCTAGAAATGACATCTGACCTTGACCATTGGCACAACTTTCTCTACAGGACTACTCCCCAAGCCCACCCTCTGGGCCAAACATGGCCTCGTGGTGACCCCGGGGGCCAACATCACTCTCTGGTGTTCAAGCCCCAAGCTGTCTTCCCTTGGAGAGTTGACTTTCACTCTGTGGAAGGCTGGGACCCTGTGGCCCTTGCAGCAGCAGGCCTCAGCAGATCTCTGGACTAGCTTCCTGCTCCTATCTGTGAGACCTGAGGACACTGGGAGCTACAGCTGTACCTACAGGGGAAGGACAATGTTTACTATAGGATCAAAGACCAGTGATGCCCTGGAGTTGGTGGTGCCAGGTGAGGGGTGTGTGTGGGCCCCAGAATAACTCTGATTATGACCCCTCAGTGGTCTGTTCAGACTGAGGCCTCACAAAGACAAGGCCTTGTATCTACACAGCCAGTTCTGCCCTGGGGCCTGTCAGGGCTCTGGAGTCTTGGAAGACATGAGGCATTTCTATTCTAATCTAAAATCTAGGGAAGAAAGGTGATGGTGGGGACTGAGTTGGGGGTTAGGAAAAAAGTCACAGAGACCAAAGCTGAAAGAGGCCTTGGAGGTTCTTGAGGCCAAACCCTCCCATTACTAATGAGGAAAGTGAGACCCAGAGAAAAAGGACTTGTCCAATGTTACAAGACAAATGAGTGACCAAGCTTGGAAATGAACCTGAGCCTTCTCACTCTTGGACCATGATCTGAGTCTCAGCTTTAGCTGAGCCCTGGGCCTGTCTGTGATAGTCCTGATGAAAAGTGAGGGGTCATGACCTTCCCTCCCATGAGTCATCAGGTGCATGAGACAATAGATTGGATGAGCTCCCTCAAATATGAAAGACTCCTCAGAATTCCTGGCTATCAATAGCTAGAAATTCATGAGTGATCTTCTGGCCAAAACTCTTATTTACAGATGTGGTAACTGAGGTTCATAGGTGGGTTCATGGCTCAGTGGATAGAATGCTGAGCTTGGAGTTAGGTAGACTGATCTTCCTGTGTTCAGTTCTGGTCTCAACCACGTATTATCTCTGTGACCCTGAGGAAGTCACTTAACCTAGTTCACCTCACTTTCCTCATCTGTAAAATGAGCTAGAGAAGGAAAGGGCAAACCACTCCAGTATCCTTGCCAAGAAAACCCCAAATAGAGTCATCAAGAGTTGGACATGGCTGAAAAACAACTGAACAATGAAACCAAGACTCAGACAGGAAGTGGATGGCCCATGGTCACAAAGGGACTCAGAGTCTGAGTAGGGATTTGACCCAAGTGTCCTGACCCCCAGCACCATGTTCTTCCTCTCATAGGGTCTCTCCCCAAGCCTTCCCTCTAAGCCATCTCAGGCCTCATGGTGGAGGCTGGGATGCATGTGACTTTCCAGTGCTGATAGCCCCCTCAGACATTCCTCAGTGGTGTGACATTCATTTTGCTGAAGGTGGGGACCTCCCATCCCCTGCAGAGCCAGAGCCCAGCTGGGGCCTCAGCTGACTTCCCCCTCCTCTCTGTGAGGGCCCAGGATGCTGGCAACTACAGTTGTGTCTACCACAGGAGAATGGCCCCATACCAGGTGTCCAAGCACAGTGAGGTCCTAGAGATCTGGGTGACAGGTGAGGGTGTGTCCAGATACCCAAGGAAGAGGTAGAGGTTTGGGACTCTACCTTAGAGGCAGGCCAGGAATCCAGAAAAGTTATTTTGTTTTCAGCTCTTTTAATATCATGAGGTAGAGATTGGGACAAGTTCTGGGCATCCCTAAGGAAGAGGAGAGCAAAGGTAGAAGGATGGACCAGCTCAGGTAGTGCTCCAAGCTCAAGGGCCAAAGATGGAAGGAAGAAATGCACCCTGTTTCTAGGTGGGCCCAGAGAACATCTCAAGTTGAGCATCTATGCCCCTCCAGGGAAGGAGACTTTGGGCAAGTAATGACCAAAAGGCAAAGGAATGAGAGCTGATGGTCAAGGAGTTTTTCAGGGACCTCCCAGCCCTTGTTTCCATCCACCTCCATTATAACTATGCGAGGCCATTAAAGATCTCTGGCGTCTCTTTGTGTTTCCAGATGTACTCCCCAAGCCTTCCATCTCAGCCTTGCCTGGCCCAGAGGTGGCCTCAGGAGCCAATGTGACCCTCCTCTGCTGGGGACCCTCATGGACTACTAGGATTGTTCTGTACAAGAAAGGACATGAAAACATCTTGCAGAGCATGGATACCACTCAAGATGGAGCCAAGTTCTTCCTGACTCATGTGACTCCCAAGGATTCTGGAAACTACACCTGTGGGTACCAGCTTCTCACCAATGGAAGTCTCTGGACACAACACAGTGACCCCCTGCAGCTGAGAGTGACAGGTGAGAGGGAGAAATCCACAGGACCCACTGGTGGATGCCAATGACCACTCCCTTCTTCAGTTTCTACAAGGAAATGAAGTCAAGGCCTTGGCTCTGGCCAAGAGACATATGATAAGAAACAATAGTAACCTTGACATTTTCCTCAATTCCAGGACCATAGAGACCATGTGTGTTGAGCTGGGACATAGGGCTTCCCCCAACACTTCCCCATGACCCACACATCTCTACCCTGGTTTCTGGGGTTTCTGAACTTAGTTCCAATGGATAAGCCCATTCTGAGCAGCATTTGTGCCAAACTCTGGAATGCTAGTGGTGATGGGTGGCTCTGGAGGGAGATAGAAGGAGAAAAAAGGAGGCAATTTCAGGGGCAAGGTGAGGGTCCATTAGTGTGACTCATGAAGATTTTTCTTTCTCCATCACCCCAGGTTCAGAGTCCAGTAACACCTTCATTATCACCTTCAGCTGTGTTTCCTTCCTTCAGTGCCTTCTCTTGCTGGCAATGCTCTGCCGAGGATCCGTCCCTATAGGTGAGAAAGAGTTGTACACCTTAGTGTCTTTAGCAATAGAAATGGGTAAGGACTGGGACCTCTATTTCCTCCTTTGAGACCTTCCCTGACCTGACTTCTTCTCTTCCCATGTCTCTCTCACCAGGGTCTTTACAAGGAGAAAACCCTAGGAGGTAAGGAGACTCAACTCCTCTTCCCATAATCCCCTGTTCCTTCCTTGCAATATAACCTCTGCACTGCACAGAGTCTGTGGTGAGGAGAGGCTGATCACAAAGCCTCCCAGTGTGGATTCTCTCCTACTGTCCTGTTTTCTCCCTCTCCCCTTGTCTCAGGTGTCTATGTGGTCCTTGTCTTTCTTGGAGTACCTGCCTGCCCCATCATCCTGAGGCCCCCAGAGAGGAGATCCTGTGAAGGTGATCTGGGCAGCAAGGGCATGTGATAATGGGTTGGGAGGATAGAATTGTGAAGGCAATTCCTGTTCCTGGGAAGCTGTGAGAATAATGGAACTTTCCATCTATCTCAGATACAGAAATGGCCAAGAAGAGAACAAGGGACCCTTTGGTGAGTCAGCTCATCCTGTCCTCCACCTGGAAGACCCAGTTTCATCCTTAATTATAACATTTCACAACAGGTTCTAAGCCCACAGTTGCACCACTTCTTAATCATTTACTATTTTTTTTCTTCTAGTCATCCAATGTAGGGCTACTGAACTGGGGATCCCTTAACTTAACGGGATAATTGTTAAATATTTCAATCATTGTACTTCAATATCATTTATTTCCTTTGAAATTGTATGGAGTTCATTTCATATAATTAACAGAATGATAATGAGAAGCCATCCATAGCTTTCACCAGAAAAACTGTCAAAGTATTCACAACATACCAATAGATTAAGAACTCCTGCTCCAAAGTCACTCACTTTTCCCTTTTCCTTGTATTTCCTCTTCAGTTCCCCATGGCTGAAGACCCCCAGGGAATAACTTACGCTCAGCTGAACATAAGAACCTTGAATGAGAGGAAAACTGACCACACAAAGACACCAACAGAGCCCACCATCTATTCCTCTGTGCCCAGGGACTGAGGATTTGGGCACCTTTCACAGAAAAAATTCTCTCCCATCCTCTCCTCTTCCATCTTCTCTTCTTCTATCTCTTCTCCTGTCCTTCACCCCTATTTCTTCTGTTTTTCCAGTACATCTTCCCCAGGTTTCCATCACTGAGGAGCCATGATGCCTATTTGGGTTTCCATTTCTAGATTTGTGCAAAGTAACTGCACCCATCTATGATAATGAGAAACAAACAAGATAGATACAAAGTAAAAAGGAGACAACCATCTCAAAGGGGAAGTCACTAGCAGAGGTGAGGACCAGAAAAGACCTTCTGAACTAGTCTGCATTGGAGCTAAATTTTAAAGGAATCCAAGCAAACTGAAAGGCAGATTGGAGGAAAGATAACATTCCAGGCATAAGGGATAGTAGCGGTGGTTTCTGGATATCTCAACCCACAAACACCAAAGACAACTTAGAAGGTCAATAGGAAAGGTCTGTGACCATGGTGAGAGAGAAGCTTGGTCCCAGCCCCAGTCCCATTGCAGCCCAGTGGACTGGATGCTTCTGGAGCATTGGCCCACAGACAGAAGGGGAAATCAAGTGGCTGATCAGAGGAGGATTGCAGGGATCTCTTTGCTGGTGCTGTGGCAGGAATCTCTTGCTTTGCCCTTGCTTGGATCTGGGTCACAGTTCTGGGTGGCAGGCCTGGGGCAAGGAGGAGCACTGGTGTGGCAGAGCTTGTAGTAGTGGTGGAGAAGGAATCCTCCTCACAGTTTCAAGGCAGAAAAGAGTGCTTGTGGTCACTCATAGACTAGAGCACAGACCAGGAAAGGAGTAAACACTTCGCCCCTTATCGTACCACCTTGGAAGAACTGAAAATTTATAGGTCCCTAGAGGTATCTCTGAAAACAGCCGCACAACACCCCTGAAGCTTGGGACAGTACATTCTCCATACTGGAAGTGGACCACTACCTTAACAAATAGTTTAAAACTCATGTAATTGGCTGGGAACATGAGCAAACTGTGCAAAAAAAGTCAGACCATAGAATCTTTCTTTAGTGACAAAAAAGATCAAAATATACAACCAGAAGACAACAAAGTCAAAGCTCCTACATCCAAAACCTCCAAGAAAAATATGAATCAGTCCCAGGCCATGGAAGAGCTCAAAAGGGATTTTGAGAAAAAGTAAGAGAAGTAGAGGAAAAATTGGGAAAAGAAATGAGAGTGATGCAAGAAAATCATGAAAAAACAAGTCAACAGCTTGCTAAAGAAGACCAAAAAAAAGATATTGAAGAAAATAACACCTTAAAAAATAGCCTAACCCAAATGGCAAAAAAAGGTCCAAAAAAGCCAATGAGGAGAAGAATGCCTTAAAAAGCAGAATTGGCCAAATGAAAAAGGAAGTCCAAAAGCTCACTGAAGAAAATACTTCCTTAAAAATTAGGATGGAGCAAATAGAAGCTAGTGACTTTGTGAGAAATCAAGACATTGTAAAACAAAACCAAAAGAATGGGGGAAAAAAAATAGAAGATAATGTGAAATATCTCATTAGAAAAATAACTGACCTGGAAAATAGATCCAGGAGAGATAATTTAAAAATTATTGGACTATCTGGAATTCATGATCAAAAAAAAGAGCCTAGACATCATTTTTCAAAAAATTATCAAGGAAAACTGCCCTGATATTCTAGAACTAGAGGGTAAAGTAGAAATGGAAAAAATCCACCAATCCCCTCCTGAAAGAGATCCCCAAAGGAAAAATCCAAGGAATATTATAGCCAAATTCCATAGTTCCCAGGTCAAGGAGAAGATATTGCAAGTTGCCAGAAAGAAACAATTCAAGTATTGTGTAAACACAATCAGGATAACACAAGATTTAGCAGCTTCTACATTAAGGGACTAGAGGGCTTTGAATATGATATTCTGGAGGGCAAAGGAGATAGGATTACAGCCAATAATCACTTACCCAACAAAACAGAGTATAATCCTTCAGGGGAAAAAATGGATATTCAGTGAAATAGAGGACTTTCAAGCATTCTTGATGAAAAGACCGGAGCTGGATAGAAAATTTGACTTTCAAATACAAGACCCAAGAGAAGCATGAAGAGGTAAACAGGAAAGGGAAATCATAAGAAACTTATTAAGGTTGAACTGTTTACATTCCTGCACAGAAAGATGATATTTGTAACTCATGAGACATTTGTCAGTATTAGGGTAGTTGGAGAAAAAAAATTATATGTATATATAGATAGATACATAGAGGGCACAGGGTGAATTGAAGATGAAGGGGTAACATCTGGAGATTAAAATTAAGGGGTGAGAGAAGATTATACTGGGAGAAAGAGAAAGGGAAAGGTAGAATGGGGTAAATTTTCTCACATAAAGCAGACAAGTAAAGGCTTTTACAATGGAAGGTTAGAGGGAATGAGTGAATCTTACTCTCATTGGATTTGGCTTAAGAAGGGAATAACATACACACTCAACTGGGCATGGAAATCTATCTTACCCTACAGGAAAATAAGGGGGAAGGGGATAACAGAGAGGGGGATGAATGAAGGGAGGGCAGATTAGGGAACGGGGGTAATCAGAAGCAAACACTTCAGAGGAGGGACAGGGTCAAAAGAGAGAATAGAATAAATGGGGTGTGGGACAGGATTAAGGGAAATATAGTTAGTTTTTCACAGCATTACAGCTATGTTTTGCATGACTACACTTGTATAACCTGTATGGACTTGCTTGCCTTCTCAATGAGGGTGGGTGG